CTGGATTGTCAAATTGGTTGTTGATCATTGCTAGACAACCATTTTCCGGTCTTGCCATAGATTTTCAAGTAGATTTAAGTCAAAACTGTAAGTTGGCCACTTAGGAACATTCATTGTCTTCTTAGTAAGCAACTCCAGTGTATATGTGGCCTTGTGTTTCAGGTTATTGTCCTGCTGAAAGGTGAATTCATCTGCCAGTGTCTGATGGAAAGCAGACTGAACCAGGTCTTCTTTTAGGATTTTTCCTGTGCTTAGTTCCATTCCATTTCTTTTTAATATGTGGAGAGTGGTACTCGGTAAAGTGTGGTATTGGATTTGCCCCAAACATAACATTTTGTATTCAGGACAAAAAGTTAATTGCTTTGCCACATTTTTTGCAGTATTACTTTAGTGCCTTGTTGCAAATAGGAAGCATGTTTTGGAATATTTGTATTCTGTACAGGCTTCCTTCTTTTCCCTCTGTCAATTGGGTTAGTATTGTGGAGTAACTACAATGTTGTTGATCCATCCTCAGATTTCTCCTATCACAGCCATTAAACTCTGTAACTGTTTTAAAGTCACCATTGGCCTCATGGTGAAATCCCTGACTGGTGTCTTTCCTCTCTGGCAACTGAGTTAGGAAGAACAGCTGTATCTTTGTAGTGACTGAGTTTATTGATACATCATCAAAAATGTAATTAATAACTTCACAGTGCTCAAAGGGATATTCAATGTCAAAAATATATATTTTTACCAATAGGTGCCCTTCTTTGTGAGGCATTGAAAAACCTCACGTGGTCTTTGTGGTTGAATCCATGTTTGAAATTCACTGCTTGACTGAGGGACCTTACAGATCATTTTATGTGTGGGGTACATTTACATTTGAGTCATTTAGCAGACGCTCTTATCCAGAGCGACTTACAGTTAGTGAGTGCATACATTTTTCATACTGGCCCCCTGTGGGAAACGAACCCACAACCCTGGCGTTGCAAGCGCCATGCTCTACCAACTGAGCTACAGGACAGCGGTACAGAGATGCGGTAGTCATTCATGCAACTTATTATGTTACTTGTTAAGCACATTTTTACTCCTGAACTTATTTAGGCTTGCCATAACAAAGAGGTAGAATACTTATTGACTCAAGACATTTCAGCTTTTGATTTTCTATTAATTTGTAAAAATCTGAAGAACATAATTCCACTGACATTATGGGGTATTGTGTGTAGACCAGTGACAAAAACATCTCAATTTAATCCATTTGATATTCAGGCTGTAACACAACAAAATGTGGAAAAAGTCAAGGGGTGTGAATCCTTTCAAAAGGAACTGCATGTTATCAAGTATTTTAAAAGCTTATATTTGTATATTTTATGACGGAGTATGTGACACTGTTTTCTCTGCTCAACTGCACCAATGAGGTTATCCAAGGCTAGCCACAGAGAAAGACAACAAAAAATGTGTCCTGCCTTGAAGTGCAGTAATACAGGTAATAAAACTGGACAGATAATGATTGTGTAGGACTCTCCAACAAATTATTGGTCAATAAATCACCCATTAGTATCAGATTGGGCTATGCATCGAATTCAAAGGCATCATGAGTTTAGAATTATGATTTCACCCTCCTGTTAGCCAATCCCAATTTAGTTGCCAAGGTAACGGGCGGGAACCCAAAAGGACATGCAGTGAGGTCAGTAATTCACTGTACTGGGCTACACAGTCTAGCTCTAGCACAAAATGCACAACGCTCACACATTCTCCTATCAACAAACAAAAGAAACACGAAAGTGAACATCCAAATAAACATGACAATCGATTCAAGATGAGTTATAGACATCATATTGCAAGAAGACTGTTTTGTAGACATTTCGGTATTTGTGTCAGAGAGGGTGCCGAAAATATGAGGATGGGGGGGGTGGTGGGGGGGGGGGGGGGGGGGTGCAGGAGTTACACACTAAGAGGGTAACATCACAGTTACTCACAGCGCTGGCTGTGCTCTTAGAGTGCTCTTTCAAATCCAAAATGTAACATTTGCACATAGATGAGAATATAACAGTAAAATGCCTATGTGTTTTTACCTTTGAAGCAGTATGCTCCCAGATGGGTGAAGGGTTCTGGGAAGCCTGTCTGGTTCCTGTAGCGGTACATTGTCCTGACGCCCAGCAGACCGCCGCCACACTGCATTCTGGGTACCGCGACGGGGTGGCGAGCGCTGCCATCGGCCAGCCAGCCATAGTCACACCTGTCCAGACCCTGTCGCCAGGCGGAGTGGAGCTGACCCGGCGATGCCAGGACAGCGTTCCTGTTTTCACACTCCTCCTTTGCCTCCTCAAACGTCATCTTACGGGTCACGGGTGCGTAGTACACCTCACCTTAGACAAACAGGGATTACATGTAAAAGGTGACTTTCTAGTGACCGGTGATTGTCAAGCAAATAACTGTCGGTCTCATGGTAATTGACCGTTAATTAACATAAATACATTTAGCATCTCCTGGCTTCCACACATAGCCTACAAACCACTGATGCAGACCTTTGGAACATCTACATTTTAAAAGTCTAATAAATCCATGTAATATAGTCTACACCTTCACAATAAATCAATGATTTATTTTAGACAGGTCTAAAGAAGCATGATATGAAGAAAAAGTAGTGTATTTCAGAATAAACGAATAGCATACTCTGAGTTGTCCTTATGTTAGGTCCTAATGTGGCTTTGCCAAATGGTTGTGGGATACACTAGTTCATTTAGCAGAAAAGATTTGCTTAGAATTCTGTGGCATTATTTTATATTATTTTATAATATGAAGAATACAATTGAACAAAGCTGAATAAAATATATATATATTTTCTCCAAACGTTTTTGAGGGAGTGCGCACATGTGGCTATTCTGTGTTGAGCGGTTAACAAAGAAATAGGGACTCCTATGTACTTAATGTAGAGTTATTAATATAACTTTAGTTGTTCTACAAACGTTGGGCTATATGTTTGGATTTTTAATATATTGTAAGGCTGCATGATGCGACTCTAATGATGATTTGAAAAAAGTCGCTTGAAAGGCATGAGCTCCTCTTTGTTTTTTGCGCAGGCTGTACACACTTCATTAGTCTCTCATTCACAATTTGACAAGCACTTGATAATGCCTCGGATTTCACGGCGGCATCCCCTTTGTGGCCGTAATGCACCCTAAAATAATCCATGCCTTTTGCGGTCAGTGGTCGTTGTGCCCTTCTCCCTGAGTGCTTCCTCACTTACATGGCTCTCCATCATGTCATAAGGATTTTCTCACAGGCTACAAGTGAAGACAGACCCATTGGGGATGCAACTGCGCGCGTCCTTATCCAATTCCGAGGTGCATATTGAAGACATTGGAAGAACTGTCCACATATACTTTTCGTCAGCCAACGAGATGAGTAGGCCTAACGAACAGCAAAATCACTAGCCTATGTCAATCTACTATCCCCCATAGTACAAAAGTCGACCTATTTTATTATGTGTGAGAAATAAATATTCCAAACATAGTCTGGGACAGTTGTGGGGTGCAATAGTTCCCAAATTAATACAACCGCTAGTATAACAACAACAAAATTACGCAATGTGGCTGACGCAACAGATCAGAACGTTTAGCTTAAAATGTTGATTAACTATTAGGCTATTTCTTCACATTACAAGCGCAGCAATGCACACATGGCAGTAGGCTATAAGTGCGAATGTTCCATTTGCGGGAAAACACCATTATCAAAAGTGACCGCAAATGGGATTATGCATGTAATGCTTTATTATAAAGGTGCATTTTTATGGTGAAAATTATCTTCCCCAAACTTTAAACTCACACGCTGCTTATGTATGCCAGTTAGGCTCTAAACCCCTTGTAAACCCCTATGCTACATGAGATGTGCGACTATGATCCGAAAAAGTTGCCCAAAAAAGGCAGTTTCTTATGCTGGGCATCATTCATAAGTGATAATATATAAGTGAATGGCTAATATTGTCACCCATCAGACTATTCTTGATTTAATCTTGTCTTTACATATACTAAATAATATATGTGTGAAATTTGTTTTGATTTAATGGACCATTATCATGCACCTGTCTCGAAACAGGGGTAGCGGGAAAAAAATATATGTCATCTATGCACTTAATTAGCTAATGTAGGCTAATTAGCTAATTTTCATGCCAGCCAGGTAGGCTATACTCCTGTTGTAAAGATAAACAAGGTGCTTAATATTAGGAAAGTTGAGAAATAAATATAGTAGGCCTAGTCTGCAGAAAGCTGATGGGATCCTCCTCTTTTTAGTAGAGGCCATCACTCTGTTTCCTAGTGTAATTGCATAGCCTATAGAAATGTTGTGCAACATGAGCTCATGGGCTCTCATGAAGTGTTTGATTAGATTTTCTTTTTTCAATTTAAAGTTTTATTAAGTTTTCAATCAACCAACCAAACACATTCCACATTTGCATTGATGTCAGAGTGATTAGAGGGACAATAGAGTGCTGAGTACCAGGCAGTTAGCAAGTTTGGTAGGCTACTAATGACCAGCAGCAGCATCAGAGCTTGGAGAAGCCTAATTACCATGACTAAACGGTCACATGGAATTTGACTGCCTTCATGACTCGTGACCGCCGGTGTGGTGGTAATACGGTCACTGCAACAGCCCTAGGAATGAATTATATCATTCCAATTTGACCATGGTAGCAGTTTCATAGAGATATAGACCCATAATTACAACCCAGTGTCAATGCTGTGTAGGGCTCTGAGCCCAAACTTTCTCCCACTAATTCATTTAGGACTACAGTACAGCATTCATTCCATTATCCTGAGGTGGGCTAGCAATGCTGACTATGTGTTTGCACTCTCAAAGATGGTCTGTCCCTCATGCCATTAGCTCCCCCACAGTGGGTGTGGCAGTCCATTGTTAATGTGGTCAACTTAATTTTTTAAAACGTAGGTTTCCCACTAAATGAAGTAAACACTTATTGGCTGTGTTTTTAACTTGGCAACATAATCAAAACTTGTCAGAAGGAACTACATCTGCTCCTCAGCTGGCCCCCGTCACACTGCATAAAGATAACAATAACACTAATACACCACTGTTACACACGCCAATGGTATTATCTTACTCCTCGCTGACTGATCCAAGAGGATTTGACCTAATACTACCACGAGAAAGATGCTTGTGTTTGCAGAATGACACCTCCCCAGCCATATGACCCACATCCTGATGTGGTGGGGGGATATATGTGGGCTAAATGTTGCATAGCCCAAATAATTGTAGTCTCACACCTGCACTCTTAGAAAAAAAAGGGTTCCAGAAGGGTTTTTCAGCTGTCCCCATAGGAGAACCCTTTTTGGTTCCAGTTAGAAACCTTTTCCAAAGAGGGTTCTACCTAGTACCAAAAAGGCTTCTACAAAGGATTATTCTATGGAGACAGACGTATAACCCTTTTAGGTTCTAGATAGCACTTTTTTTTCTAAAATGTGCCTTAGGTTTAGTGGCGTGAGGAGTGATGTTAGAGCTCATAAATGAGCGATGGGCATGCTGCACCTGAGGTTCAATTTGTCAGTAGGCTCAGCGTGTGTAGAAACTCACTTCTCCCCTAACTAGCATCAGTGTACTCTACACCTGTGCGTGGTTCCATTGGATGTGCTCATCCTGCATAGGTTTTCATTGGATGTATCACTAGGCCACTTCCTTCCACATTTTGTTCTCTTACCATTCAGCTTGTCCACATAACAGTACACATCATAGGTCTCTGTGGCCTTTCGGGGTCCATATGTCCTCACTCCAGGCTTCCCCTGCAGGTTGCCATAGCAGCCAGGTCTCGGTCTAGTGATTGGGTATCTAAACATGCAAAGAAAAGATAAGATCATGTAATTGATCGGCAAACAGAAATGTGATTGTGTCAGTCAACCTATTACTTCACACCATAAAATTATAACAAAGACAAAAGGGACTCCCAGGTGAGTTAGAATACAGCTGGAACTGTCACTGGCTTGAACAATCTCAGTATATGTGCAGTTCACATTCAGACCAATTGAAAACTATGGCAGAGTGGGTCAAAACCAGTTACCAGTAGCCTGGGAGCCAGTCCTTTTCTGATTAAACCAATGACTTCTACTTTGTCTTTGACACAAACATATAATTGATGGTGGTCTTTCTTTTTTTCTTATTTTTTTGGGGGGGTAGATCAGCAATAATACTGCAGATAGATGTAATTGTAATTATCTGCATCATTTCCAATCCCTAATACTTTTGTTTGTAAATATATATATATATATATATTAAATATATTTTCCTTTACTATTTTCCCCTAACCCTACCACCCCTCCCCTAATTGGAGTAAACTAATAGACAACAACACTTAAGCTTCTACTTCCAGCTTATATATACTATATCAATTTTACGGACACAATGTGTTTTACAATAGTTATCTTTTGTTTGTTTTTAATCCCAACCTCCAGCTACCATCAACCCCTCTCATCTATCTCTGAAGACGATCCAGTTTGTTTTCTATTTTGCCATATATTTTTAACTGTGTTGTGATGTTTCACAAAAGTTCTGAAGATTTCTATTCTCATAGTTTCTACAGATTGTAAATTAAAGATAAACATTTTTGCTAAAAGTATTATTATATCATTGATCGATTGACTAGGACTATTCAAATCACCCAGTAGTGCTATCTGTGGAGTTAGCTCCAGGTAACTTCTTCAACCATTCCTGGACCTGCGACCAAAAACAAGCTACATATGGACAGTACCAAAACAAATGATCTAATTATTTGGTTTCTTCGCAAAAAAAATCTGCAGAGCTGGGATGGTTGTATCCCCCAAATATACACTGCTCAAAAAAATAAAGGGAACACTTAAACAATACATCCTAGATCTGAATGAATGAAATAATCTTATTAAATACTTTTTTCTTTACATAGTTGAATGTGCTGACAACAAAATCACACAAAAATTATCAATGGAAATCAAATTTATCAACCCATGGAGGTCTGGATTTGGAGTCACACTCAAAATTAAAGTGGAAAACCACACTACAGGCTGATCCAACTTTGATGTAATGTCCTTAAAACAAGTCCAAATGAGGCTCAATAGTGTGTGTGGCCTCCACGTGCCTGTATGACCTCCCTACAACGCCTGGGCATGCTCCTGATGAGGTGGCGGATGGTCTCCTGAGGGATCTCCTCCCAGACCTGGACTAAAGCATGGAGCGAGACATGATATCCCAGATGTGCTCAATTGGATTCAGGTCTGGGGAACGGGCGGGCCAGTCCATAGCATCAATGCCTTCCTCTTGCAGGAACTGCTGACACACTCCAGCCAAATGAGGTCTAGCATTGTCTTGCATTAGGAGGAACCCAGGGCCAACCGCACCAGCATATGGTCTCACAAGGGGTCTGAGGATCTCATCTCGGTACCTAATGGCAGTCAGGCTACCTCTGGCGAGCACATGGAGGGCTGTGCGGCCCCCCAAAGAAATGCCACCCCACCTGTGGACGTCGGGCCCTCATACCACCTTCATGGAGTCTGTTTCTGACCGTTTGAGCAGACACATGCACATTTGTGGCCTGCTGGAGGTCATTTTGCAGGGCTCTGGCAGTGCTCCTCCTGCTCCTCCTTGCACAAAGGCGGAGGTAGCGGTCCTGCTGCTGGGTTGTTGCCCTCCTACGGCCTCCTCCACGTCTCCTGATGTACTGGCCTGTCTCCTGGTAGCGCCTCCATGCTCTGGACACTATGCTGACAGACACAGCAAACCTTCTTGCCACAGCTCGCATTGATGTGCCATCCTGGATGAGCTGCACTACCTGAGCCACTTGTGTGGGTTGTAGACTCCATCTCATGCTACCACTAGAGTGAAAGCACCGTCAGCATTCAAAAGTGACCAAAACATCAGCCAGGAAGCATAGGAACTGAGAAGTGGTCTGTGGTCACCACCTGCAGAACCACTCCTTTATTGGGGGTGTCTTGCTAATTGCCTATAATTTCCACCTGTTGTCTATTCCATTTGCACAACAGCATGTGAAATGTATTGTCAATCAGTGTTGCTTCCTAAGTGGACAGTTTGATTTCACAGAAGTGTGATTGACTTGGAGTTACATTGTGTTGTTTAAGTGTTCCCTTAATTTTTTTTGCAGTGTATAACATTCTATTGGTTGCAAGAATTTTGTATAATAATTTAAATTGAACAATTCTAAGTTTTGAATTTTGCGTATCAGTTCATAAACTATGTGCCATGGAATCGGTCTCTTCCCAACTATTTTGCAATCTATATGGCACAGCTGTCAATTTTTTGGTCCTTAAATGAAACTGGTATACTTTTTAATTAATCACAATGTTCTTTAACCAATGTTGGTCTTTAATGCAGGGCCAACAGACAAGTTCCTTAATTTTTCCCCCTTCCACTTGCCTCTTCCATTTTTGCAGTAATGCTGCAATTAGTTGGTTGTAATTTTGGGTAGAGCAGACATTTCCATATATTTGTGTTAGCTGCATGTGTGACATAACTCCACCAGTCCTATTTATGGTATCATTTACAAAGATTACACCTTTTTAAAACATTTTTTCAAAATAATCATGTTTTTTTAATCAATTAGTATATTTGAGTTTAACCACAATATTTGTTGTATTATTTGTTCTCTTTTCTGGTGGATTAAACTGAAATTGCAACCAACTTTCTATGGCTTGTTTTAAAAATAGCAAAGTTTTGGAGATTATTTCATTTTCTTACCTAACTGACAGATCTGCGATCCAGCCAGCATCGCAGTGGTCAAAGCCGTCCTCATAGGCTGATTTCAGCTGGTCAGGCGTGGCAATGGAGGCTCCTATGGTTTGGCAGGCCTGGACAGCACTCTCATAGTTCATAGTGTACCTGCTGGTACTTGCCCGGTAGTGAAACACAACACCTGGGAATAAACACATACACACATAAAGACATATTTGGTCCTGTGTAAAAAAGTAAAATAGTAAAACTGAATCAGGGGTAATGTCTAAAGCCTTGCTCACATTGGCAATTTGAAGTGACTCAAAAAATGTTTTTTTGCATATCCAATTCGAATCTGTTCTTTTTCCTGCAGTCTGAACAGCCAAAAAGCACATGGAATCGGATATTTCAAGCCACATTTCAAACCATCTTCGTAGATGGTTTGAAGTCAGATACAAATCTGATTCTGTCCATGACAGGCATAGTTGTCCCCTTAGCTTGCTACATAACTTCTGCGAGATCAGCCTGCACCACTGCCCACACACCTGTCATTACTATGACAACTAGTGTAGCCATGTCAGCAAATGACTGCTGTCTGAACACCCACAAATCAGATTTGGCCACTTGTAACTTCCCGTTTGTACAGTCAATATTCCCAAACCGATTTGATAAACAAAACTGATTTGAGCATTAAGGCCTGCAGTGTGAACAAGGCTTAATAGCACACGTGTGAAATAAATCAGGGTCTATGTTTCTTGTGATGATACAGTATATTACAATTTAGCGGAAGATTACTAGAATACTCTGCAATGACCACAAGATAACTCTGGATGATTTATAGACGATGCCATGGCCCTGACTTCCCATATTTGTGTAAGTAGACTGACGGATGCTATGATTATAATTGTAGCGATGGGCGGTTGTGTCTCTGTGAAAGCCAAAGCTATCCCATATCAACCCATATCTGTTTTCAACATATCCCAAATTTGAGCTATGTCTCCCAGATAAGGTAACACCCAACATAAAGATGGGGTATATAGGCTTGATCTTGTGAGTTTCCTTGAATGGTTCGCTACACACTTACATGATAGCGCAGCGGTAATCAGAGCCATAGCTCTGGAACTCTTCTATCCAACTTGGAACATAGACCATAAACATAACAAGATTCAACTTTGTATGGTAACACCTTATCCATGACTGACCTTAATGTGTTTGTCTTTCATCTGATCACGTAGTTTTCCTGATGAGAAGACTCAATTAGCCTACCCACTACCCACTGTTTACAATCAGAAACTGTTGTGATGCAAAATTTAGGGGAAAAGACGGTTTAACTAATAACAGATGTACTCACTTCAAACCAATGATATAATGATTAATACATATTGTTGGCTAGGCTATGCACAACCAAGGGGATAAAACAAGATGTCTTATTATTAGAGAAGACACTGGGGTCAGCATAAGGGAAGAAGCAGAGAAACGGACTATAAGTTTTACTGTAAATGTTTTGAGTGTGGATTAAGTAAGTATCAGCAAAACCATAATGGCAAATATAAGCATCATAACCAAAACCGTTTTTCCATAGCCCACAAGACCGAACTGGGCATACTATTATAAAGCTAACCTTCACTCGACCTCTTATAGATTGTAGAGAGGTGTAAATAACAGGGGTGAAAAGAGACAGAATAAAAACAGATGACACCAACCGTTGACATTGAGGTTGACCGTGTCCTGCGTGTCCTCGATGCCGTACATGACCTCGCAACGGTAGGTGCCGGCATCGCTGGCTCTGAGCTTCACCATGGTCAGAGAAGAGTCCCCCACATCCTCTGGGTGGCTGGGCACCGACACGCGATTCCTGTAGATGGAGCCTATTTTAATCTTGCCGTTTTGGGCCACCAACACTGTGAATTCCTTTTCCCCATCCATTTTGGTCCATTTGATGCGCAGGTAGTCGGTGCTGGGGGTGGTGCCTTTGGCGTTGATGGTGGGCATGGTAGTGGGTATGGTGGAGAAGTGGCACGGCAGAACTACCTTCCCCGAGAGGGAGCCACTCACGGGCCTCATCATGGTTAATGTGTTGGAGACTGGGAAACAGTACAAAAGGTCTAGGTAAGGCAGTGAAAATAGATAGGTTACTGAACAAGTGCATGTTTTTTCACAATCAATGGAATCAGAGAATAACAATGTCAGCTGTGGCACAGTATCAGCTTGGGTGATATTGGACAACAACAACACACAATACATTGATTCAAGGTTGTGCCCTTTGACCACACTATCCAAGTTTTTCCTCTATTTGTTTATATAAAGTCTGTGACAAGGTCTTAATAAAAAGTACAACATTCTATTCAAAGTTCAAATCACTCTTTAAGGACGTTTAATTAGTCAAGTGGGTAACACTTTACATTAAGTTGTCCCTATTACTATGTAACTACACAGTAATAACTGTAGTAACAACATTGTAATCACATAGGTGTTACTATGTAATTACATGGTAACAAGGTTGTAGTGCTAGCAGTTATTATGCAATTGGAACAAGGAATGTGTAATTACACATCCATTTGCTTGCATTACCATCGAATCCAAATTTAAACAGGCTCCTGAAGAGCTTCTACCCCCAAGCAATAAGACTGCTAAATATCTAACAAAAAGGCTTCATGGTTTGACCCTTGTATTTATTTAAATGTTTGCACTGTCTCTATGCACACTCACAGTACTCTACACACTCACGCACACTGACACTCCAACACACACATTTATTCTGACTCTACACAAACGCACATACAATCTTCATTAACGCTGCTGCTACTCTGTTTATCATACATCCTGGTCCTCTGTAGCTCAGCTGGTAGAGCACGGCGCTTGTAACGCCAAGGTAGTGGGTTCGATCCCCAGGACCACCCATACACAAAAAAAAATTATGCACGCATGACTGTAAGTCGCTTTGGATAAAAGCGTCTGCTAAATGGCATATTTACTCTGTTTATCATACATCCTGATGTCTAATCACCTTACCCTTACACTGTAGATACCTACCTCTATCACTCCAGTATCCCTGCACTTTGTAAAGATGGTATTGGAACCGACCCTGTATATAGCGTCTTACTTTCTCGTGTTCTTCTTATTTCTTATTTTTATTTGTCATGTGTAGGGCTGTGGCGGTCATGAAATTTCGTCAGCTGGTGATTGTCAAGCAAATAACTGTCGGTCTCACGGTAATTCACCGTTAATTAACATAAACACATTTAGCATCTCCTGGCTTCCACATATAGCCTAAAAGCCACTGATGCAGACCTTTGGAACATCTACATTTAAAAAAGTCTAATAAATCCATGTAATATAGCCTAGACCTTCACAATGAATCCATTATTTATTTTTAGACAGGTCTAAAAAAGTGTAGTCTATTTCAGAAGAACAGAAGAGCATACTCTGAGTTGTCCTTATGTTAGGGACTGATCTGACTATGCCAAACGGTTGTGGGTTAAACTAGTTCATTTAGCAGAAAAGATTTGCTTAGAATTCCGTGGCATTATTTTATATTATTTTATAGTATGAAGAATACAATTGAACAAAGCTGAATAAAATATATATATATTTTCTCCAAACGATTTGAGGGAGTGCGCACATGTGGCTATTCTGTGTTGAGCGGTTAACAAAGAAATAGGTACTCCTATGTACTTAATGTAGAGTTATTAATATAACTTTAGTTGTTCTACAAACGTTGGGCTATATGCTTGGATTTTTAATACATTGTAAGGCTGCATGATGCGACTCTAATGATGATTTGAAAAAAGTTGCTTGAAAGGCACGAGTTCTGCTTTGTTTTTGCGCAGGCTGTACACATTAGTCTCTCATTCACAATTTGACAAGCACTTGATAATTTCACGGCGGCATCCCCTTTGTGGCCGTAATGCACCCTGAAATAAACATGCCTTTTGCGGCAAGTGGCCGTTGTGCCCTTGGCCCGGAGTGGCGCGTTGTGCCCTTCTCCCTGAGGGCTGCGAGCTCCTAAGCACCTCTCACTCACATGGCTCTCCATCACGTGATCGGGTCTTTCTCACAGGCTACAAGTGAAGACAGACACATCGGGGACGCAACTGCGTGCGTCCTTATCCAATTCCGAGGTACATATTGAAGATATTGAAAGAACTGTCCACATTTACTTTTCGTCAGCCATCAAGATGACTAGGCCTAACGAACAGCAAAAGCACTAGCCTATGTCAATCTACTATCCCCCATAGTACAAAAGTCGACCTATTCTATTCTGTGCGAGAAATAAATTTTCCAAACATAGTCTGGGACAGTTGTGAGATGCAATAGATCCCAAATTAATACAGCCAGTGGCATCAAAAACCCTTTTTACGTAATGTGGCTGACGCAACAGATCAGAACATTTAGCTTAAAATATTGATAAACTATTAGGCTATTTCTTCACATTACAAGCGCAGCAGTGTGCACATGGCAGTAGGCTACAAGCGCGAATGTTCCATTAACGGGAAAACACCACTATCAAAAGTGAACACACATGGGATTATGCATGTAATGCTTTTATTATAAAGGTGCATTTTTATGGTGAAATTTTTCTTCCCCAAACTTGAAACTCACACGCTGCTTATGTATGCCAGTTAGGCTCTAAACCCCTTGTAAAGTGAATTAATGTGCTTAATTTTAAGAAGTTATTTGGCCACTTTAGTTGTGAGACAAACCTTATCAAAACATATAGGAATTCGGCCTATGCTACATGAGATGTGTGACTGTGATTAGAAAAAGTTGCAAAAAAAGGGCAGTTTCTTATACTGGGCATCATTCACAAGTGATAATATATAAGTGATAGGCTAATATTGTCACCCATCAGACTATTCTTGATTTAATCTTGTCTTTACATATACTAAATAATATATGTGAGAAAGTTGTTTTGATTTAGAATGGACCATTATCATTCACATGTCTTTTTAGTAGAGGCCATCACTGTTTTCTAGCGCAATTGCATAGCCTATAGAAATGTAGCGCAACATGAGCTCATGGGATCTCATGAAGTGTTTGATTAGATTTTCTAATACATTTGCATTGATGTCAGAGTGATTAGAGGGACAATAGAGTGCTGAGTATCAGGCAGTTAGCAAGTTTGGTAGGCTACTAATGACTATCTGCAGCATCAGAGCTTGGAGAAGGCTAATTACCGCGACTAAAAGGTCACGTGGAATTTGTCTGCCTTCATGACTGCCAGTGTGGTGGTAAGACGGTCGCCGCAAAAGCCCTAGTCATGTGTTTTTGTTCTACCTTATGTTATTTTTAGTACTACATTGATATTGATTACTGCATTGTTGGGTTTAGAGCTTGCAAGAATGCATTACACTGTACTTGTGTGCGTGACATTGAAACTTGAAACTTAATACCAAGGTTGATAAATAGGCTAGGACCTGGCAACACAATTGTAACAAGGCACACCCTGTCATTAACTACCGGTCATTTTCAAATAGTTTATTTCTATGTTATGACCTGGCTCAAAGGCTATACCGAATCAAGTGTAATGTAAGAACAATGTAGTTACGTACTTGTATCTATCATGTACCCAGGAGCAAGCAACTTAATGTAAAGTGAAACCCAGTAGGCTCACCTTTATAATGACTATGTAGTTACAATGTAACAACCTTCGCAGACAATAGGCTGACCAGGATAAATTAGGAGACAAGAGAAAAATATGTATAACCCTTTTAGTTACATTGTACTTACAATGTAACAATCTTGACTAGTGACTAGGCGACAGGATAGATAATAAAGAGTAGCAGCAGAGTACAGTATGTGATGAGTCAAAATAGTGGAACAAGATTATATTTAATTGCATGGTAATAAGGTTGTAGCGCTATCAGTAATTACACATGTGAAATAACCTTTGGCTGTGTAATTACACATCCCTTGTCCAATTGTGTAATAACTGCTAGCACTACAACCTTGTTACCATGTAATTACATAGAAACACCTATGTAACTACTATGTTGTTACTACAGTTTGTACTGTGTAGTTACATAGTAATAGGGACAACTTCATGTAAAGTGTTTACCGTCAAGAGCATTGCTATTTTGCTATGAACTTCTCATTCAATAACATACACAGAGGGTGTTACATTTACTCCAAGTCTATATAAAAAAAAACATGGATCATAGTACCAAACTGGCCCTTGGGAAGTCAATCCTCATCCTCAAAATTATGGGTGGGGAGCCTTCCAGTGATATATTCTATATACAGTATGTGTGTATAAAACAAGTGTATTACATAAAATAGAGTTCCCCACCCACAAAATAAAGGTCAAACAGGAAAGGCATGTCTTCATCCTTAAAAGTTGTTCCACTGCTATACTACTTGTCCTGAACGATAAGACCAACTGATTCATTGTTCTTCCTGGGTATCAGCACTAAAAAGATTGGCTAGTTTCCCAAACACAGATTTAGCCTAGTCAGACTAAGAAGCACTTTCAATGGATAATGTAGGGTGAATGTAGCGGACATGAGTCAGGTACATGGTTGCTCATTGTCTCGGTGATGGGTAGCCATGCCTGCGACTTAAAAATTACTGTTGGCCCTCTGCCCAAAAGTCTAACGGTCAAGAAGTTGGATTCTCCCGTGTGAGACCCAGGTTCAGATAATGCCTGTGAAATTAGCATTGCATCTGGTCATTTTAGACCAACGTTTCCCAACTCCAGTCCTCGAGTACCCCAAACAGCACACATTTGTTTTGTTGCCCCTGGACAAGCACACCTGATTCAGCATGTCAAACTAATCATCAAGCCCTCAATGAGTTGAATCAGGTGAGTTTGTCTGGGGGGCAACAACAAAAATGTGTGCTATTGGGGGTACTCGAGGACTGGAGTTGGGAAAACACTGTTCTAGACAACTTAAACTTTCAGGCAGCAGGTCAGACAGGCAAACAGTCCTCTGGAGCAAGGTTATTCACAATTCCCTATCTTCAACTATTTCTTTGTATAAAGTTATCCACACAAAGTGACTCCCAGTGAGAGCCACACTACACACAGCGCACACCCTCACAATGCCAGACGCAATGCCATAGCAACA